AATTTGTGATAGGAAAGTCCTTATATAAACAATATAACAAATTCTATCAATTTTTATTGTTTAGAATGCAATTAAACTTTGGTAATCAAAAATCATTATTCTTCCAACGTCTGAATTCTTTTTAATTAAACTTTTGTGATTGACTGTATAGCCAATGCATCCTTAAGAATAATCAACGACTCTGAATATCGGCGTATAACGTAATGGAGTTTTCGGTTTGCATATCTTCTTCGAAGTCGTTCAGGGCCGCCAGCTTCGATCGAATGGTGAATTAGGTCTAAGGTTTAACTATTTCGGATAGACAAGAAGAAAAAGGTATGCCATGATCTGTTCCATAGGCACGTAACGGTACGGATGATGCTGTGCGGGCAGAGTTTAACGGTTAAGTAACGGTCATGTCGTTCGTTAAGTATTCCGTTCGATTTGAAGAAAGAACGAGAGAAGCGAGAGAGAGAGAGAGAGAGAGAGAGTGAGATTTCGGAACGGGTTTCGTGAGGACGATAGGCAAAGCGTCATAGTTTCACGAAACGTTTTGTCCTACCGCGGATTGGCGTATGAAACTATGGTAGTTATTCGACTCCTGCTTTCTCCGATAGTCACCCGAGCGAGCCAGCGAGCGAGCGCGAGAGCCATTTCTGACTCCCTTCCTGGTGTGGTGCTCGACACGAATTTTAACTCGCGGCGAACTCGCGGTGAATGCCTGACGAAGAAAGTATTGAAAACGACGGGCCGACTCACCGAGGCGATTCGGAAAAATAAAAAAAGAAGAACGATATCCCGCGCGATTCATCCACCGCGAGGTATTCGACTCTCGTTTACATTCATCAGCCTCTCGGTTCCGCGCAGGGGATGATGCGCTGAATTCAAATCGCGCCATGAACCAACGGCAAGGACCGCAGAAAACGCATCAAAGGAACTGTCGCACGGATTCGCTTACATTAAAGCGATTCTTTCCCAGATTAGACAGAACTAAACAGACGCGAATTGGATTCGAACTTTCTCCCGACTGCGCTAGGCGCGGACGCGCCAACGAGGATCGCTCTATGAATTTCGATTCATAACGTTTGCGTTGGAATCAACGTCGTCGTACGTGTGACGCGTGTTCTTCCAAGAATCGACGTTGTTATGTGTATCACGCGTGTACTCGACGTAATTGTAACGTACAAGCTTCACGGATGATCACACTTTCACGTTCTACGAGTTCCCTTGAAGATTCGTTATCGCAACCTGCAGCCGAGTTGGGTTCTCGCACAGTTTTCACTGACCTTAACCGATGTTCCCGTGAAACAGACGTCCGCACGACACTAAGGAGACCGGGGATCGATTTAAAATTCGTAGACGATCAGAGTAAACACGTGCGAACTAGCCGTAGTGAACGGGACCAGGCGGAAGATGAAACGGACCAGAGAGCTGTTAGCCGTTTCTATACCTTGGAAACTTTCTCCTCGCGCGAATCTACCGATCCTCCTGTCTGTTATGCCACCTTGAGTCTTTAAGTCTTTTGCAAGCGATACACCACGGAATTGTCACTCGTCCCGTCGTCGGTCTTGCTTTTCCTTTCTTCTCCTTCTACTCCGCTTCTTCCCCCCGACTCTTTACCCTTTGACGGCCGACTCCTCGTCCCCCTACCTCGAATAGAGCCACGAACCCCCACGCCCGTACACCTGCTACTCGGTTTTCACGTGCCACTAACGTATCTCTCATCCTCAACCGACGTTCTTCTCCTCCTTTCATCCCCCGTCGAAATCTATCATCGTGACACTTCGATCTTTGGCTCCTCTGCCTCGCGGCACCTGGAAAGGCCCGCGTCCTCTCGCAGTCGATTAGTAAAGTGGCACAGAAATCAGTATTACTTACTCAATTAATTGGTGCATAGCTTCTCGACGTTTGTTTCATTATTTTAAATGCAATTTAATGTTTATTTATTAAAAAAAACGTTCGGTACTTGTGCAGATATGTATAGTACAACTAATACAAGATAGTCAGGAATTGTGAGTACTCAATAATATAAAATAGGAGCTTTTTTATAACTTTTAGTCTGTAGAACTGATACGTTGATACGTTGAGTACAACTAAATAACTCGTAGATACGTTGAGTACAACTAAATAATACAAGATAGTAAGGAATTGTGAGTACTCAATAATATAAGATAGGAGCTTTTTTATAACTTTTAGTCTGTAGAACTGATACGTTGATACGTTGAGTACAACTAAATAACTCGTAGATACGTTGAGTACAACTAAATAATACAAGATAGTAAAGAATTGTGAGTACTCAATGGTATAAAACGGGAGCTTTTTTTATAACTTCCAACTCGTAGAACTGCGCAAACCGCAAGAAGTTAATTTTGCATTCCGCAATTGCAGTGAAGAGTATATGCAACGAGAAACAACTCATTTCAAAGGATTCCAAGGGAGTTACGTACCAGTTTCATGAGTTACATCGAAAATTACATGTGTTATCAATTCGTTTAAGGTCCAAAACTATTTTA